GACAACTGTCTCCCCGACCATTTTCCCATTTACGGCACAGGACTCCATCCTGAATCAGCAAGCTGTCCCATTGGGCCCAATAGCTTTTCGTGGTCGAACTCATTGCTGAGACGTCGCTCCACTTGGGCTTAGGAGCACTGGCCTTCATCCATTCCAGAATCGGCTTAATATCCGAATCTTCCTGCTGTGCATTTTGTCGGCTGTCCTTCCACTCATTGCTGAGCTGGTCTGTCCTGAGCATCCTCACAGATACCACTTCCTTACCCTCTTGACTAGTACAATGCTTGCAATCTTCAGGGCAAGGTCTTCTTGACAATGCATCTGCATTGCCATGAGATTTCCCGCTGCGATGTTCGATCACAAAGTCGTATTCCTGCAGTAGTTCAATCCATCTCGCAACTTGTCCTTCTGGATTTTTGAACTGCAATAGCCATTTCAGTGCAGCATGGTCAGTTCGTAAGTGGAATTTCCGCCCTAGAAGATATTTGCTAAAATGCTGCAAGGACTTTACCACAGCAAGCAATTCGCGTCTTGTGACACAGTAGTTCCTTTCCGGCTTTGACAATGACTTGCTGAAGTATAAGTAGTCGCTATCACAATCTCTTGGTCACCATTCCGTTGAGACAACACACCGCCAAGTCCTATATCACTTGCGTCTGTGTCAACTATAAATTCCTTGCCCGCATCAGGGTACCCCAAAATAGGTGTTTTGCACAGACGGTTCTTGAGCTCCTGAAATGCGATATCGCAACTTTCATCCCAGCAGAAATGTCGCTTCTCCTCGGTTAGCTTGTGCAGAGGTTTGGCTATATCTGCAAAGTTCTTCACACATCGCCGATAATAAGAGCACAAACCCAAAAATGCTCTAACCTGTGTCTTGTCTTTTGAAACCGGCCACTCCTTGACAGCGGCAATTTTTTCTGGATCCGTGCGGATACCTTCTTCCGACACTACATACTCCAAAAAACTAACTTGCCGTTTGAATAGTGAGCACTTCTTTGGACTCAACTTGAGGTTGGCACTCTGGATCTTCATGAGCACGCGTTCCAAGTTTTGAAGGTGTAACTCAAACGTACGGCCTACGATGATGATGTCATCCAAATAGACCAGACAGGCATCTCCAATTAGCCAGGTAAGTACAAGCTCCATCAATCTTTCAAACGTTGCTGGAGCATTGCACAATCCAAACGGCATGACTTTAAATTGCCACAGACCCTTTCCTGTGGAGAATGCAGTTTTCTCCTTGTCCTTAGGGTCAATTTCAACCTGCCAGTAGCCACTTTTCAGGTCCAGCGTACTAAACCACTTTACGCCTGTGAGCATGTCCAGCGTGTCATCAATTCTAGGCAAGGGATAGCTGTCCTTCTTCGTAACGTCGTTCAGGCGGCGGTAGTCAACACAAAACCGCATGCTGCCGTCCTTCTTCTTTACCAGCACCACAGGTGAACACCATGGACTAGATGAAGGTTCAATAACACCATCCTTCACCATTCCCTCAATCATGATTTCCACTTCCTTTTCACGTGCTACAGGCAATCTTCTTGGCCGCTGACGAATAGGCAATTCTTGTCCTGTGTTTATTTTGTGTTGAACTAAGCCAGTCTTTCCTATGTCAGCTTCGTTTGACGAGAAAACATTGGCGTACTTGAGTAACAACTTCTTCGCCTTGACCATTTCATTCGGGGAGAGAACGCTGCGTCAGTCTTCTAAAAGTGTGGTCACTCTCGTTTGTCCATCCTTGCTAGGGGTCCCGGTCGATAGATATTCGCACCGACGCTACCAATACACTTCCTCACTAGTACCAACCAATGTGCTTTTTTCTATAATCTGTTCCTGATCACAAAGGTTCAACACACGTACTCCTGAGATGTTGGTGGTTCTGACCAAGGTTCGAGCCACTTTCCATGGAAGGTCATTGTCTACCCTTTCCACGAGTACACAACGATGAGCTTGCCCAGGACTCCGAGGAAGACTAACCGGCACAATCGTTTCCGATCTCGGCGGTAGAACAATCTTCTTAAGGCTGTACACATTCCCTGGTAACGCCCCTTCCATGAAAAGTTCCTCTTGTCCACATTTCAAAACACCTTGCTTAACGTCGATCTCACAACAATTCTTCCTCATAAAGTCTAGGCCCAGGATGCAGTCGTCCATTACATCAGCCACGATGACATTATGCAGGTAGATCATGTTGCCTAGCTTCAACTCCATTTCCTTCTCTCCACGGACGGGTATGCGCTGACCAGTGGCTGTCACCAAATTAATGCGTTCTCGGTTGTATGCGGAGTCCCCAAGGAACCGACTTATAAGTTGGGAACTGACAACCGTGCGAGAGGCTTCAGTGTCTATGGTCAGTTTACACGGCGTTCCGTTGACTTCGCCCTTGATGATTAGGCTGTTCCCATCATGGGTTTGTGAGATCGAAATCCTTGGGGCTCTTTTAACATCAGCCAGCACCCGCCCCGCAGTCCTGGCTTTTACTCGTTTCCCTGCTGCTGCTGGGCGGTGCTATTAGCCGCACTACCCTCTCGAGATCGATCACCTTCCCTTTCTACAGTTCGCTTAGGGCAGCTGGATCGAAGATGGCCCCTTTCTCCACAGCCGTAGCACCTAGGGCTGTAGGTTTTATTGCGGTCCTGAACTGTAGCTGCTGCAACCTCCCTGACGCGGTGGGAACGATGATCCTGCCACACGGCTTCCACCTCCAGTGCATGGGTCAAGGCGTCCTTAAGCGTCTCGTGGTGCCCGAGCCTCACAGCTGCTCTGACTTCAAGGTCGCGGATGCCGTCGATGAATGTCTGCACCAGGTTCCCTACAATAAGCGCAGGTACAGACTGGTACGCTTTTCGAACCAGCTTCTCCACCTCAAGGGCCCACTGCTGCAGGTTTTCGTTACTGCGTTGCACGCGATCTTTGAGCTGCGCACGAAAGACGTGTTCCAGGTGAGCGTCGCCATATCTCGCCTCCAATGTCTCAAGGAGCTGCTCGTAAGTCACTTCCTTACCGAGAGCTTCCAGAACAGTTAATGCCTGGTTGCGCAGGCCTAGGGTGAGAGCAGTCATGGCCTGACTTTTATTCCAGCCGTTCGCTTTCATGACAGCCTCGAACTGGATTTTATAGGCCGACCAGGAAGAAGTCCCGTCGAACGGTGGCACTTTGAATCCATGTAGCGAAGGTGTTGTAGCTACCACGGGAGCTGTAACTCCATCCCCAATTTTGAGGTCGTTCAGCGTTTTCTTCACGTCATCCATCACATTGTCAACCCGATTGTACACTTGGTCGATTCGGGTTTCAGCTTCCGACAGGCGGTTGTCATATTGAGCAACCTTATCCTTCACCTCACTTATTTCTTTCCCGAAGGTAGCGTGAGGGTCCTTCATGAGAAGTATCTGCTCTTCCTTATCGCGTTTGAGCTGCTCTTCCAACCGACGGCCCTGTTCCTCCTGTTGGCGGGCTTGTTCCTCCTGTCCGCGCTGCAGCTGCTCTTCCAACCGACAAGCCTGTTCCTCCTGTCGGCGGGCCTGTTCCTCCTGTCGGCGAGCTTGTTCCTGCAGCATCATCATCAGAGTACCTAAGTCAGGTGCTGCAGATGCAGGAGCTGTTGACGGGCCGGCCTGCGTGGTCGGCAACTGGCCTGCCGACGTCTGTGACGTTGCACCACCAAATCGTTTCTGGTCCGTCTCCTGTTGGCGTTGACTTCGGGTACGGATACCCTCGGTGTCGTCTTTAGGTAAAATCGGCATATTTGATCCCACTTCTGACACCAATTGTCACGAGCTTGGGGTTCGAGCAATTAAAAACGGCCGATTGAATTACCAAAATTGACACTTTAATTACACAACACTAATTACAATCTAAAATCACACTAATAATAAACCACAGTTCGCCGTTATTTCGCTTCGAAGTATTCTCTTGTATCGCCAATTCAATACTGCCTCGGTCGTGGTCTATACCGGCCTTATATGTGGCCTCAGATAGTTTCCAGAACCTTCTACTGTAGCGACATCTAGAATGTTCGAGTACATATCGGTCCCGAAATTTCTGGAAGGATCTCGACTCTCCTAGTTCTGCTACTCGACACTAGAGGGCGCTAGTGTAACTAGTGTTGCCATGTACAAGACATTAATAGTGGCGCGCAATACTTTCATTTACTCGACACTAGGGGGCGCTAGTGTAACTAGTGTTGCCATGTACAAGACATTAATAGTGGCGCGCAACAATATTATAATACTATTGTAATACAACTTTGCTTACGCAGTTTATTTTTAATTCAAAGCTTTATTGTAAAATAAAAACTGATTATAAATTTATGTTTCATAAGTATTATCTATTGTTTGCCACTACCTTCTCCCACCTTTTTGGCAGCAATTGAATCCCACGTTGAAAGTACTGGTCATCTTTTGAAGCGATCCACGAATCATTCCAATTTTAGACTTGTTCATAAAATCTGAAGTGCTGGTCCGTCAGACCGTGTGCCATCGATCAAAATAAGTGATAAAAGGAGGGAACAACGTCTGGAAAATACGGCGGATGGGATAAGACTTCCCATTTCAAAGTTTTCAAGTATATTTACTAACTTTTACAACACGAGCATTGTCATGTTTCAAAATAACGTTATGGTGTCATTTGATTTATTACGGCCGTTTTTATTTCAATGTTCAGCTCAAACGCATTAATTGCCAGGTCCTCTGTGATAGTTTCAGACAGTTTTAACAGTTCATAATATACTACACCAAGTTGATCCCACTATTCGGATTAGCCGTCAGCACACAAGCGTGGCCGGAACATCTCCATGATTTTCTCGCTTGGGATTATCGTGAAAAACGCATTTTTGTCACCAGTTACAAAGCGATGCAGAAATCCTTTCCGTTTTATCTATCAAGCAGCTGTTCACAAAAAAAGAAACGCCATTCAACATCTCTTGGCTTCAACTTCTACGGCACCCAATATACTTGCTCCTGCATGATTCCCAGTGTGTTTAGGTGTTTTAAAACTGTTTGCTAACTCACTTCCAATGGTTCTGCCAACTCCTCTTGACTTTGAAATGAGTCATCATCGAGCAAATGCGTTAATTCTTCATTTTCAAAAACTTTTGGTCTTCCACTACCATGCCGGTTTTTTACGCAAAAACCACCACTCTTGAAGCATTGAAATCTCTCACGATATGTTTTTTCACTCATAGCAGCTTCACCATAAGCATCTGAGAGCATTCGGTGAGCCTCAGCAGCAGATGTTTTATTATTAAAAAAATAAATTAACACCTCACGCAAATGACGAGGATTCGACTCGTAAACTGACATTTTCAATCGGGAATAACTATATGATGTAAACACAAATCAACTACTGCTGCTATCAGGTTATGTTTACAAGATAATAAAAAGTATTGCAAGCCGTCTATAATGTATGTACCTACTGTACTCAACTCGATTGTATTTTTTTGGGTGTTACCTTAGAACTTTTTTCGTGGTGAACCAATATTGATGATTCTTTTTTTTACTTGAAAGATGGTAATTCTCGTGTGGTTCCCATGTAAATTTGATCTGACCTGCAATTTTTGAGTTATCCTTAATAATGCATATTTAATTGACTTCAACTACATTTATGATGTTCTCAGTTTATTTATATTGAAGTCGGTTGTACAAAATTTTTAATTTTACCATTTATTTGTCGTTAATAACATCGCAACGAAAAAAAAATTGAACCTGTTGCATCTAAACAGTAAAATAAGTATGTTCTGATTGTAACTTAATTTATTATCTGGTAAAAACATTTCTAAGGTTGTAATTTAATACCTGTAATTTGAAGCTATTGCTGTAATAGATATATTTTATGCTCTTTATCCATTTTGACCATCGTTATAATTACAATCGACAGTATACTGTAATAAAAATCATTTACATTCTATATAAATGCCCCTTTTTAGAAAAAAAATAACAATATGGTTTTTTTGACGTTTATTTTATTAAAAATACAAAACACTAATATAATTAATAGAATCAGGCGTTACTTTGCGGAAGTCCATTATATTAAAGTTGACACAAAATTGCTTTGCGTACATCCGCTCGATACAATAAAATGATGTGTCTTACCTAGTTTGAAGAGCACCTCCCGCGACTGCGCAACCGCGGCGACTGCGACGTCGAAGACTTTTTTTTTGCGCCCAGAATCAATTGGATAAGGGCTACCTCGATAAGGCGAGGAGGCGGTAAATGCTTTATGCATACCACGACAGCCGGTCTGTCGTGGTTATGTGGGACTCACTGTGTCTAAAATAACCGGGAGCCTAAGTAATACCCACTAAAAACCACCTGTGGGACTGACGATTGGCCGATTAAGTCGCTTCGTTGGATCGGAAGCGACCCTCTTTTGGGAGAAGAGATGCGGCTACAAAGAGCCGCTGAGGAAGAGCCTACTTAGGCAAATTTAAGAAGAAGCGGCCTGAGCCGCCAGGAAGCAGTTCAGGTCGGTTGCAATTTTATTTGGCGAGTCCGAGAGAGAGTTTCTCGGCCTGCGGACTCGATAGCGAGAAGGGAGTGGGGCTGCATTAGTAGCTGCCTCACGAATAAGATGATTGGAGTGCGACTCTGAGGCTTTGAAGAAGTTCTCAGAGAGTTTTTTAAGAAATTGTTGAATTGTAGGGAGCTCTAGGTCCCGATGAAGGTTGGCATTACGGACGTACTAAGGTGCGTTCGCAGCTTGACGACAGAAAAGGTTTTGAACTATTTGGAGTTCATTAATAATTTTAGGGTCAGCTTGGGCAAAAATGGGGCCCGCGTAGGACATGACTGGTCGTATACGGACCTTATAAAGGGTACGCTTATTTCTGAGGAACATTTTACTGTGTCGGCCCAACATACTGTTGAGCCTACTCAGGTAAAAACGTGCGTAACTTTTGACATGGGGCCTGAAAGTGAGCCTTGTGTCTAGGGTGACACCTAAATATTTGGCAGACGTATGCCAGGGGACAGGGGTCCCTAGCATACGTATTGGTGGAGTGTTTTTGAGACGGCGTCGTTTATAATCGAAGTGAACGGCGGAGCTCTTTTCCGGGTTCACATCGATGCGCCATTTTTTGAAGCAAGCTCTTAGGTCCTAGTTCATCAACTGACTTTTGGACCTTGTTCCGTATGAAAGGTAGCGAGATACCTTTACAGTAGAGTGCAGTGTCGTCTGCGAAGAAGGAGAGCTGAACACTTTTCGACGGGATAGGAATGTCGTTGGTGAACAGGATGTACAGCACAGGAGCAAGTACTGAGCCCTGAGGGACACCAGCTTTGATGAGGCGCTGTGAAGATAACGTGTCTTCGTGTCTAAAACGATAGGTACGATGCTTTAGATAAGAGGCCACGAGACGTACTAGACGATCGGAGAGACCTATTTTGTATAGTTTGTTGATAAGGCCTGTATGCCAGATTCTATCAAAGGCTTTAGCTATGTCGAAAAAAACCGCGATGGTCTTATGACGACGAGGATAAAAACCAATGAGGATATATTCCACAATACGGTAAACTTGTTGGGGACAGGAGTGTTTCGCTCGGAAACCGAATTGGTGGGGAATGATAAGAGGGTCACCGTCTGTGGGAAACAGATGGCGCCTCATGCGAGTTTGGATGACACTTTCGAAGAGCTTGCCCATGGCCTTGACTAGGCTAATGGGGCGATGACTGGAGGGGAGGTTGAGAGGCTTGCTTGGTTTGGGAATACCAATCACAGTTGCCTCTTTCCACGTAGTGGGAAAGTAACTAAGGTTGAAGCAGGTGTTGAAGATAAGCACTCAGCCTTTTCCTCGTCCTCGAAGGCAACCATACCGTCGGGACGGGAGAGAGGGCTCTAGCCATCTGATATTACGCTGTATGAGATGGAGAGATATTCTTCATGAGTTTACTCTTTTCGAGGTCTCGAAATTCAGAGAGGCGGAAACGGAGTTCTCGTTGAAGATGATTGGCCGTGCGCCTATATTCGGGAGTGGGATATTTTGCTGCTCTCCGGAAAGCAGCTTTCTTGGCTTTTAACAGGTTGCTAATATGTACGGGAAGCCCACTATTGTTAGCAACCGGGATGACCCTTTCGTTCTCCTTAAGGGAGGATTTAATAAGGGTGGAGAGTGAATCGACAGCGGTGTCGATTTTTTCGGGACTGTCTAAGTCTGATGATAGGGAGATGGTAGAGTCCTGTGAGTCCAAAGCTTTAGCTAGGGACTTCTTGAATCCCTTCCAATTAGTGAAGGTTTTCGTGTGTGTTGGGGAAGGTGGCTGATGGGCAAGAAAGAGGGAGACCGGTCGGTGATCGGATCCTAGATCGTCTAGTGTCTCGATTGCCCTGAGGTTGAGAGAAACTCCTTTGAGTAACGTAAAATCTAGTACATCGGGGGCGTGGTCGGTGTTATCGGGAAAGTGAGTAACGCCGAGGGGATTGTGGACGGTAAGATCAAGAGACTGCGTGATATCGAGCAGTGTCTTGCCACTAGGAGCGGTAATACGGCATGTCCATTCAGTATGCTTGGAGTTAAAATCTCCAAACATAATGACTGAATTGCCTAAAGATAAAATAGCCTCAAAATCTTTTTTGAGGGGATGGGTTCCTGAAGGGATGTAACAGGAGGCTATGAGGATCGACTGATGTCCAGTCATAGCTAGCCTGCATACCGTGGCTTCCATGTTGGTAACGTCTAACGTCGACGACCAAAACAACTGCTATTTATACAGACTTGGCTCGCCGCTCACTTAGCGGTTAGCCACCGTAGAGTCTATATCACCTGAGGATGCCTCGTGTAGAGGCAAAACACGTGTCGTATTGTCGTCAGTGGTGTGTCTTTCCTAGTGTAGTGGTGTTGGGAGTAGTGGTGTTGGGATTAGTGGTGACGGGGATAGTGCACACAATTGAGGGAGGGCGGGAGGTGCTCTTCAAACTAGGTAATACACATCATTTTATTTTATCGAGCGGATGTACGCAAAGTAATTTTGTGTCAACTTTAAAACACTAATAAGTTAATCAATGCAGCTATGGACTTGCTACATTATTTTTTAAACCTAGAACAGCTCGATATGAAAACAAAATGTCGGTTTTGTGTTTAGATTTTTATAAATTCCTAAATATAAAATCACAATAGTTCCGTGAACTTTAGAACATTGTAATAGAAGTCACATTCGTTATTCGGTAAAAGTCTGCGACTGAAAATTCCCCATAGATTGCTAAAAATTGGCAGGTGGATAAACAATCGCTGTTTTTTTAATTATATTTTTTATAGGATACGGCGATAAACGAGTACACAGTCCACCTGATGGTAAGTGGTTGCTGTGACCCATAGACATCCACATCTATCCTCGATGAGTATCAAAATGCAGATGCGTTGTCACCAGTGAGGACTAAGATGGAATGCCTCTTTTCCAGTAAAAAGGGTTAAGCAGCAGTGTTAAGTTGCTATTTTACGCTGGTATTCTGTGCAGGCGTGATCCTTCCCCGGTCGAGCCGACCCATTCGTGCTACAACTTTACTACTAATATAGCTGCAGCATGGCTATACCACGTATTAATTTATTATTTGGAGTTACTATTATCACTATTTCCTTCTGTCGCCTGTTACAACACTCCACTACATGGCATATTATCGACTGATTATTTATTTATTTACATTAATAAAAAGAAACTAAATAAACCAAAAACAAATATAATCATACAATCCTACTCCCCGCCCTATAGTGATTATATATTATGTATATATTATGATATACACAATATTTAAATTTTAAACATGATGTTATCAAACAATTGCATTAGTTCTTTATTCGCAACGCTAAGCGTGATAAAATGTATTCAATCTGGATTTTATAATATCATGTAGTATGATAATCGATACTTGAATCTCTGTGTTATTATTACCTTAAAAGAGTATTGCACTGACTCCCCCCTCCTCATTTTCCACCCACTATCCCCTTCTTACAGGGTGAATGGTCACCCTTATAAATATTTTTCAGATTCTGGGTTCGCCCCTTCCAATCAATACTCTAAAACTGTGTTCAAAATTTATTCGTTACGATATTAAAGGGAGAACACGGAAACCGTACCAGTTTTAGGGTGCGATATTTCCCAATCTGTATGTGCATAGAGCGGAACATAAACAAAAATTTATGCATTATAAAATGTCCTTATTATTTTAAAAAAAACCTTGCTACCACACTTAAGTTTTTCAAATAAAGTACTCATATAGTGGTGTGCCTTACACAAATTGCACATGGACAAACATCTAGACCCCGAAGAATTTTGTAAGTGGTAGAGCCATACTGCAGCTATATTAGTAGTAT